GACTTCTCAGCCTCTCCAAGTACATATCAGACCATCTTCAAGGTGAAAACATTTTTTCCTATTATGTAATCAGAATTTTCCTTGCTGCAACTTGTACCCATTGACCTCAGCCTTTCACTGTGCACCTTCAAGAAGAATCTGTATTTATACAAAGTTCAAATGTTTCAACTTGCTCCAAGTCTAACCTAGTAGTAAAGCCAGATCTGCAGAGGACAAATGGAGCCTGTTACTGAATTTAAAGGAGCTATACTGCTTTATCAGCATAGAGAATCTGTCTCTTCCAATGTCAACAGTAAGGCAATGTATGGACAGCTGTATCTCTAAGCATCTGCAAATGCTGACATATTTAGCTGCCTGGTGTTTTCAGGCTTAGTTTCAGCAGTAAGCTAACCTGCAAATGACTTTCACAGAGCATAAAAGCACACTTGAATATCACCAGGTTCTACATAGAAAATAGCTCAGGAAATTCAGACAGTCTTATTTCCCCAGAGACTGTAGAGCTACATTTGTAAAGCCAGTGTTACACTTCCAACACTTTCTAGTCTTATACCTTCTACCAACATTCTTTATTAGACTGCAATTCTGAATGCTGCTGTTTGCTATGGGATCTCTAAGCTAAGGTCCCAAAGCAAAGGGAAGTATCAAAGCTATAGTCAGAGAAATGTTAATGTAGAATCCTAGATTTTTTGTATTTTTATAGGTTTTTTTATTAAACAAACAAACAAAAAACCCTACAAAAATAGAATGACATTACTTATAGAAAAAAATGCACTCTTCTAGATTATCTACTGGCCAAAACCTTGATTAGTTCACAGGAATCTATTTTGTCAGTGATTTCATTTCATTTCCAGTTGAAATCAAAACCTGTCCTTCAGTCTCTACTGGCCCATAGCTGATCTCATGTTATATATGTTCAATCTGATGAGTTTTAGTTTGAAAAATTTGAAACACTTCTGAGCACTGTCTAGACCCTTTTCTTACATAAGAGTCTCATCTGTAAAACAGTTCACCTTTCAAGAAGGAAAAATGTGAATGGTGTAAGAATGAACTGATAGGGAATTTCTTTTGCCCATCAATAAGTTATCTGAGTCATTGTTGTTCCTAAGAAGCTAATATGAGACACCAGAAACTCATTAGACAGCCATGCTCTCTAGTCCTGGACACTTCTTACTGCCAGTGGGACAGAATACAGTAAGACATTATCTGTCACATGCATTCCCCATCCCAACTCCAGCACAGTTTAAAATATTGTGTGGTTCAAGGCAATGGATCTAGCTCTCAGGTACCATAACATGTCCCAGCTCAACTAAAAGTTTCTTCACAGACTTATACCAGCTGTGCGCAGCCTTTATCTTCTCATTCTCCTGTATTCTTTGTAGGGTAGTCTTTGCAAGTCCCTTTAGACTCGTGATCTTCACTACTGAGTTTGTTCCACACCTTGTCCCTGTCGAGGTGGTATTGCATTGCTTGTAACAGCTGATTTCTTGAGTCTATCTAGGTTGATTAATCAAATGAACTCTGTACCAAATGTCCTGCCAGCACCCACAGCTTCTTAAGCTGGTAGCCAAGGATAGATATCCACATTATGATCTTAGTCTCTGTTGTGTATGAACATACTGTCTATGGAAAAGTCCTGCAGATAGCATGGTTTGATAATGTAAAACATTCCTTTCTAGCTCACATAGTAGTCTCTGTTTTGGGCACTAGAAGTCTTGCCTTAGCTTTGATTCCCCATTATAAAGAGGAGATGATAGCTGTCATCATATGTGCTTACAGGAAAGAACTAATGATTGCTGTTTGTATAGTGCATGCTGAGATGAGGTCTGATCCAACTGGTCTTTGGCATTCACTTCAATCCCATCATGGTCAAGTTCTGTCATCTCAATTTTGTAGAGTCTGATTAATGTATGAGACAGAAGGGTTTATACTGAACTAAATCATTATTTGCTGTATTCTGGTGGAATATAAAATACACCTTTTTTATTACTTGATGTGACATCTTAGGTTTTAAAATGTAGACAATTTCTTTCTTGCTTTGCATAGTCATTAAATTGTATTTCAGTTCATTAATCTAATACATTTGTTTTAAAAATATATTGCGATTTTTTTTTGCTGATTCTCTGGGAGATAGTCAGGTTTGTTCTCTTTCTCCTTTCTGATTGCTAGAAGGTACATAAGACTGCCTAGGCATACAAAACCTGGCAGGACAAGAACGATGCCAGCATCCCAGATGTTTATGTACAGCTGGGACCACAAGAACAAGGAGGTGGTCACAGTTTGAGCTTGGATCTCTTGCTCCATTCTGGAAATGCTCGAGGTAGAATGCAGCTTCTCCCAGGTTTGTGGAGCCAGCCTTCTACCCTGGATAGAGGCAGGAGCTCAGCTCAGTGTTCAGGGAGACGTACAAAGTCTTCTCAGGGAGGCCTCAAATTTCTGAGACCATGACAGGGTCAGGGCAAACTTCACATGTTTTTGGGATCTGCTATATGAATTGCCCTGTGCTAGAGAAATACAAATACCATACATTGTAATTATACAAATACAGCAGAGATTCATTACTGTCTGGCAGAATGTGATGTGCTTGACAAAATATCAGGTCAATCTTACCTGTCTACAGAATCTCCCAGGAGGATATGGAGGCCAGTCGTCACAGAGGGGTGTGAGGTGAAAATCTTCCAGACAAAACACACCATTATGAACTGTTAGCTCTATCATATCTATAGGGGACATAGTATCCCGAGATTCATGTTCTCAGCACTGATATTTCCCTTTTAATCCATATAGCAATAAATCCACCTTACAACCATCTTTTGGGAAGTTTCAATTAGATGCAATTTTGTAACCAGGGCTTCTTAGGAAAGGGTGGCTACGGCTATCTTCAGCATAAACGCACAAAAATATTTCTCATTTCAGATCTCTGCCCCAGTAGTGTCAGCAAGATTCAATGAAAATAACATTTTTCTCTTGAAGCTGAAACCAGTGCTACAGTCTAATGAGTAGTACTTTGACAGGCCAGTGAAAAGTCTAATGATAGGTATTTAACTGTGTTGGACATCAGCTTCATTAGGCTGTTTCTGAGATATGGGAGTATTGACAGTGTTTATGATAAATGATGCTCCTCAGTTATTCTTGCATGGCTGGTTTTCTTTCAAAGTACCCAAAAGGTGTAGAAAAGATTAAATATTCACAATGGAACATACTCATTTACTGGTCCCCAGGTATTGTGTCCTAGGCACCTTCCTATCAAGTCAATGGACAGAATTATTTATTCCTTATTTTCTATGTCACCAGAGTCACAATGACGTTTTGGTTACAGACTGAAAAATGTCATTTTCTGGTTGGTACAGAGCTCAGTTGGCCAAGGCATTTAGCTACCTTTTCACTGCTTTAGCCCCCAAAAGGAAAAGTTTAAGCTAGTGGTTGAAAAAACAGGGGAAAAATGTACAAAGTCTCTTTGAGGGACTAAGCTAACCTTCTCTGGTTAACTATTCCCATTAGGAAGTGTATGCATCTAGTTACATAGTTTGAATTGGTAGTTGTCATCAGATCATGGAAGACAAAAACCAATTATTCAAAAAGGTCATTTTCTCGAGTAACATGGTGTCATTGCTAATTACTTCAGGTCATTGAGTAGCAAGCTCTTTGTAGTCACTAGTGATATTAGAACTTTTATGCTCCTATCAGGTTGCAGTTTTCCAAGCTCAGCAGAAAAAAAACCTATGACTCACAGCACCTGGGGCATGACTTTTCGCCCTGGTCCTTCAATGTCAGCTGGAATATACTCCATTTGTGCATCAGAGAGGATTCCAGTCTTGGGACAAGGCTGAACTCCATGTTCTGCAGATCAGCTGCCTTAGACCTCACTTCTGCTACTCCTTGCAAGACATTAGCCCTTCACCATCCTTTCAGAGCAACCTAGACCTTATTTTAACTTACACCAAGCTGCATAGAGAGTTCATGATCAAAATAAAATACCCTCATGTATAAGGGCATTTTCAAAATAATGTAGGAGTGCTGAGGGAAGTCTTTAATGTGGTCACACCACAGCAGGTGAAGGAATGGAGCAGTCTAAGAGTCCCCTCAGGAATTCACAGCACCCAAAGTTCCCTGTAAGTTGTTCCATGGGTTTGAAGGCCTTGTTGTTCTTAAGGTTAAGCTTGTTCAGAAAGTCTCCACACAACAACAGTGAAGTTAGGAGAATACCATGACTTTTCTTTGTAAGGTTACATTCTTAATACTGCTGTCACACTGCAGTGAAACTGCTGGCTATCCTTAAATGCTGCTGAAGGAATGGTATGGGAAGAGAGTCAGTCTGCAATGGTTGACTTCCCTCCACAGCATTCACACATTTTTGGTACTCTTTAATCTTGCTGGTGTACAGGAGGAGAAAATTCATCAAAATCAATAGAGTAACAATGGAATAAAATAACACCTTAGATCTTGAGGAAAGCTTAATAAGACAGGAAGGAAAGGAAAAAATAGGGATGGAAAATTCATGAGCTGAAAGAAAGATGGTGATTTGTTACAGGCATGAGAACAGCACTAAGACAAAATGGAGTATCTACTCTTTCATTATGTTTAAGAATTTCTTCACAAACAGTTTATAAGAGATTATAAATTAGCAACAGATGTGTGCAAGTGACAGACAGGAGCAAAAAGGGGTCAAAGGTTGGTCCAACACTAAAGGACTTTGATGACAAACCCATTGCAGGCCTAGTGTGGTTAAAATATATAGGGTTTTGTAGCTGTTAATATGCAGTGGATCCATGGAATTAGCACAGCAAATTAGCACTTTTAACTCACTTCTTGAATGATAAAGTTCATTCACAATCACTACTGGATCAGAAGACAGTCAGCTATGGTAAGTACATCTCTAGAAGGTGTTGGAGGTGTGATCTCAGCTGCATGGCAATTTACAGAAATTGCTGGATCTCTGAACCTTCTTGTGGCCCTGTGGCCTTTTCCTATAAAATGTGATACACCTTTCCTTGTTTGCACAGTTGAGAGGAAAGGGAAACGGAGAATTCGGACAACGTTCACAGCTGAGCAGCTCCAGGAACTGGAGAAGATTTTCCAAGTGACTCACTACCCGGATGTCCATATTCGCAATCAACTGGCAGCAAAGATAAACCTCCCAGAAGCCAGAGTTCAGGTACATTGTGTGTCCAAAATGCTATTCTCTACAATAATTCTTTATTCAGAGTACATTCTTAATAATTTATGCCTGGGTGACGACACTAATGAAATACGTGACCTCTCTGTTACCTTACAGAGGAGGCCAGTTCTGTTCTCCTTTTACAAATAGGGAAAAATGTATTTGTCATCCAGGTGCAACTAACCAAATGGGATTAATCAAAGGGTTAACAGGAGCTCTAAGCATACTAACTGCATAGCAAATAGGAGTTACAGATAGTTATTAGCAACCTGTTGGACTCTGTAGTGACAGAGCAGCCATTTATGAAAGTACTTATTAATCATTTATCAACCTTTTACAGACTAATGAACATCCAGTACAAACTGTCAACCACATCTATCTTCTACAGGGTCTCAAAAAAACGGAAAATAACTGCCCAAATGAAAATGCTTTCTTACTGTTCTGTATTTTTATATCACAGGCTATAAATGCCCTGGCTGTAATTTCAGTGCACGGAAACTAATCCAGTTCCCCCCAGCTGTAATGTAGTCTTGCTGACTGAGCTCAAAAGTGACCCCAAATGTTTGCTGCATATGAAATCTGCCACATTAAAATATCTATACCACTGTGTATTGGAATTTGATGTTGTTTACCAGGCACTGTTGTGATTATTTTTGCATGAGGCAGTTTCTGTACTTGCCATAATGCTAGAGTGATCAGTGTACTTCTATGCACATACCCCACTCTAACAATCAAAGTTCACACAGAGCAGTTTATTGATTATGACATGCCTGGGACTATCGATTAACCATGATGATATTGCTTCATAGTCGGGTGACAGGGAGAATTGGAACAGCATAGCTGTAACATGCTCATGCATTTCCAGTGGTATAAAGCACAAGCTGGGCTACTAGTCAGTGTTCCAAACAGAACAGCAAATCTAGCAGTATCAGTGCATCCACAATGCATTTCCAGTGGTATAAAGCACAAGTTGGGCTACTAGTCAGTGTTCCAAACAGAACAGCAAATCACATGAAGGAACAGGACAACCTTCTGTTTAAAAAAAAAAATAATAATATTTATAATCTGTAGGGGAAAAAATAGTTATCATGGGAAACATCAACCTCAGATGTACACAAAAGAAGTAAAAAGCACCTTGTGTATGAATTGCAGATGGCAAATTCCTGATTTAGACAGTGTTACACATGACACAGGAAATTCTGTGTTTGACCTCATCTTGGCTAATAAAGGGAAACCAGCCACAGAACTAAAAATTAGCATTAACTTAGGTACAAGTCACAAGTTACTATAATTTTCATTGATTGTATTTGTCGCATATAAATAAAACAGAGTGCAGACAATTTGTATATGCTCTTGGTACTTTGAAGTAATAGTTTTGACAAATCTAGTAGCAGTATAAGTCAAATCACTTCACAGAGATAATTTAACTGGAGAAAAAAAAAGTGAGCAACCATTGGGTAACCAAGTGAAACATTACATAACTGTGAAAAAGCTTGTGTTCTCCAATCAAGAAACAAAGGTATGATTGCTGTGGAACAGTTTAAGTGGATAGATGGAATCATAGTGCTGCATGTGCACATGTTTCCATGCAACACAAAATGAAGAATGCTGGATGAGTAAACATTAAAACCAATAAAATATATTTTAAAAAAAACCAAACCCAAAACCAAAGCAGAAGGATACAGACCAAAGCTTTGGTCAGAAATATTAAGGATCATCAGAAACTCAATAAAAGTCCATTACAGAAAAAAAAAAAAAAAAAAGGTGAACAATTTTATTGATCTGTCACTTTATAGATACAGCAGGACTATCAAGGGTAATGCAGTAATGGCAAAGATGTTCAGCCATAATTTCTACTGTATCTTTGGAAATACAGTAGGTAAGGTGGTAGTGACGCACAATGATGATGAAACACTTTCCATAAGGACAATGTTGAACAGCAGCTGCTACAGACAGATATTTTTAAATCCAGACATCTAGGTGACTTATCTCCAGTAGTTCTTAAAAAGCTACTTGAAAAACACTTTGGGTCATCAGTGTTGGTATTTAATCAATCCTGGAGCACAAAAAACATTTGAGGAGCCTTGAAGAAATCTAATGTGTCAGTATTTAAAGGGTAAACAGGACAACCAGATAATGACTGGCCTGTCAGCCAAATATTGATTTTCGGCAAAACAATGATAAAGCCAATATGAGTCTCTGTTAATGAAGAATTAAAGAAAGTTTAATATATTTAGTGCTTATCAGCACTGGTTTATGGAAAATTGATGTTGTCAAACTCATCTTTTTATTATGAGATTATTGGTGGGAGTCTGAAGCTGAAAGAGAGTAGATTTAGATTGGATATAAGGAAGAAATTCTTTACGATGAGGGTGGCAAGACACTGGGACAGGTTGCCTGGAGAAGTTGGTGATGTCCCATCATTGGAAGTGTTCAAAGTCAGGTTGGACAGGGTTTTGAGCAACCTGATTGAGTGAAAGATGTCCCTGCCCACAGCAAAGGGTTTGGGCTAGATCATCTTTAAAAAGTCCCTTCCAACCCAAACCAGTCTATGGTTCTATGGTTCTACGGTTGTATGATTCTATGCATTTGGTTGATAAAGGTAATAACATTGATGTCATGTCACTGTAAGGACCTTGCCTTGGTCCTACACCTTGCTTGGATTAAGAAAACAGGGCAGATCAAATGGCATGTGCTAGTAGACAAAAGCTAGGTCTGCAACAGGTGTTCAATTGCAAATGAGGACATTTCAAAGGTGGTGTCTCATAAGAACCATTTACTGACACAAAGATTAATTTGAACTGCATCATCAGTAAAATCTTTAATGATAGTGCTATGAAATGGTAAGATGATTAGGGGACTGGAAGATAATGAAAAGGCTGATTCTTTACTACAGCAAGTTCCAGATCACTGGAACTCATAGTTGAGGAATACTGGAAAAAGGAAGGTTAGTAGTGTGCAGAGAATAAATTATACCAGTAGCTTGATATCTGTGGTAAACAGAGCATGGAGGAATAGGTTTAAATCCCAGTAAAAGAAAGTCAGGGTAGGCATTGAGAAATCATTTTAGGGGTAAGGGTTTTGGAGAGTTGTTGGGCAAAACAGTCTGTGAACACAGCTTTGCCTTTATTTAAAAAAAAAAAATCCCTGAAGTGAGGACTTTATCCCATGTGCAGACTTTGGAAGAAGCACTTCAGAGGCTGAATTTTGGCTTCAGTCCCCCCTCTGCCCTCAATTACTTTGTCAACATTAAAGAGGAGTCATTTTTATGGTGGTGTTTCACCATATAACTCTTGCGTGGTAGAAAGGGAATGGAGCAGTTCATACAGACTAAGCAGTTCTCAAACACATGCAAAGCCAGATAAACAGGATTGTCCTTTCAGTAACCTCAGATACTGCTAACTATAAGCAATATAACAGAGGGCTTCTGACATTCCCATTACTTCCTGGGCAAGAGTTGCAGAAATAATTGAGCTGCTCATTATTTGGCTTAAAATGCATACATATTTACTTCCAGCAGCATCTGGTTTGGATCACTAACACCTTGTGTTCATGTGAATCACCTGCTTCGAAATAAATGTTTACATTCAAACAGTAAGTTCCTAAGCTAGCAAGAAACTACAATGAAAGGAGGATTCAACTTTTCATAGCAGTGCAACGAGGTGCACTACTGTGGCTGCAGAATAAATACTTGTGTGCCTCAACCAGAAGCCAGGCAGGTCAAATCAGTTGACAGATGAAGGAAACTCCCTTGAGAAAATTAGTTGTCTGTTTTCCAGTGGAGAAGAGATGGCAGATAACATACTCGGACTGCTGAGTGATTTAGAAGGTGACATCCCCTTGGGTCTTTTGCTTAGGTCCCGTATGTGAATTTCAGAATATTAACAGCTAAATATAGGAAGAAACCTATTACTACATTTCCACTGGCGACACATTTTTATTGCAGCCCAGCAAAACATCTAGGTGGGTCTTTTCCCAATCTATTCACTTGTGAACAGAGTGAAAGAGCCCTGTTGTGCAACAAATCACACCTCCTAGGGAAAGCAGAATGATGTGTGCCTTAACTGCTGCAAAGCTTTGACCGTGAAAGGGTCTGCTTTCCTAGGAGAGCCCTGGAACACTTGCTGCACCCTGTCCCACTGTCTTTTCTTGAACAGGGAGATTCCAGCTTTTCTGTGATCTGTAAGAGGAAAGAGACTGTCAGGATAGTGCAGAGTGTGAAAGGTGCTATGTTGAACCCAATGTTTTCCTTTAGGTTCAGCCCCTGGTTCTGCTGAGCTGGAGGTCAATGTTTTGTGAGAGCAGGGAAAGTAGTTGGATATGAGCAGTTCCTCCTTCATTTCCTGTTAATTTCCATGCCTTTTCTTTCTTGCCTGTATCCAGATCTGGTTCCAGAACCAGCGAGCAAAGTGGAGGAAACATGAAAAATTTGGGAACTTTGGTGGCCTTCGACATCTGACAGAAGTTGATTTCAT